TACAAACGGTCCGGTAAGTCTAAATTTTTTATATGTTGTCTAGGATGGTAAGTATGTGTTTAAAACGAAAAATGCACAATTCTCCCCCCCTCCGCACCCGCCGCCATATTGAAAAATCAAAAAAATCGGTACTTTCTAGAGATTTTCGCCTATATCTCCGTTTTGGTGCATTTTAGCGAAATATGTGTTAAGTCAATGTTGTAGAGAATTAAATTTACTATAATATAAGTATAACAATTTGGTTCTAAGGCTTATGGATACGAAAATATTTAATTTTGTTTACAATAAAACGTAAAATCTCAAGCAAACTAAAACAACTGACACAGGGAACGTTAAAAAAAATTTCAAGAAAACGTTTTATGGTTTTATTTTGTAGTGTTGAGTCTGCAGAGCGACATCCTAAATGTTGCCGAAAATCGGTCCACAGAAAAGCTCCTAAAATCTCGATTAAAAATGGCGGCTTTTTCCAACATTGGACAAATTTGAAAAATATATACCACATGCATATTTTATTCAAAATTTGTTTATATATTGACTCTGGACTACCACCGATGTTTATTGGGTGGGTAGTACTTCATTTCGGCAGGGAACTCATTTTTAGCCGCCATCTTGGATCCGCCATATTGGATATAAAAAAATTAAATGTAATGATAACGTTGTGACACATCATTATAAACTAGATTTTCACGCTTATTTCAATGCCGAAATCCGTTTTTAATATCTGTTTACGTTTTGTATATATATTCAAACGAAAACTCTCCCCCATACATTTCTTATGGACGTTTCGTACTTTTTTTTAAAACCATTTTTCTTATATCTTTAGTTCTTATCAACGCTTGCAGTTCAGTCTAGCCTTTAAATATTCTGTGATGTAAGCGCTTTTATTTGACGTATTGATCATTCGAATCTAATGAGTTAGCGACGAGCTACAATCCCAAAAACAATATTAAATTTACCTTTTTAGAAATCTTTTTTTTAAGATTTATATCTCGAGTTGTTAATAAGTCACCAAGTTCTTTCTCATTTTGAATTACTTAGTAAATGTTTGACTTTAATCGTATTAATCACTATATAGAATCTGACTAATCTAAAGGGAGTCGTGGACCTTCATTTAACATTAAATTATTTTATTTAGAAATTTATCTTTGGTTTAAGACATATATACCCAATTATAAATAACAATCAATAAGTAATTTTTAGCTAAAATAAAATTCAATACTTTGACGAATTATTTAAGACCATAAAGAGTTTTTTGGAGTTATTTATAATTGGGGATATAAGTATTCAACTAAAGACAAATTTCAAAATAAATTATGTTAAATTAAGGCACTCAGCTCATTTTAAATTTGTCAGATTTTATTAAATGATTAATAAAATTAAAGCAAAACAATAAATGAGTAATTTGATACCACAAAGAACTTGGTGACGTATTAACAACGCGAGATATACATCTTTTAATAAAAAATATTTAAAAAAGTTAAATTTAATATCTTTTTGGTGATCGTATCTCGTTGCTGACTCGTTCGATTAGAATTATCAATAGGTGAAATGAAAGCCCTTACATCACGGAATATTTTAAGGCTAGACTGAACTGCAAGCGTTGATAAGAACTGGAGATATAAGAAAAATGTGTTTTTAAAACCTTCAAAGTACGAAACGTCTATAAGAAATGTATGGGGGAGAGTTTTCGTTTGAATATACCTTCAAAACGTAAACAGATATTAAAAGACGGATTTCAGCATTGAAATCAGCGTGAAAATCTAGTTTATTTTGATGTGTCACAACGTTATCATTGCATTAATTTTTTTATTTATATCCAATATGGCGGATCCAAGATGGCGGCCAAAAATGAGTTCTCTATCGAAATGAAGTACTACCCACCCAATAAACATCGGTGGTAGTCCCAAGTCATATCTCAAAAAATGTTGAATAAAATATGCATGTGGTATATCTTTTTCAAATTTGTCCAATGTTGGAAAAAGCCGCAATTTTTTATCGAGATTTTAGGAGGTTTCCTGTGGACCGATTTTTGGCAACTCTTAGGATGTCACTCTGCAGACCCAACACTACAAAATAAAACTATAAAACGTTTTCTTGCAATTGTTTTAGTGGTTTGAATACCAGAAAACAGGGTGTCTTTAACATTTAAAATTTAGAAAGCCGGCATGTAGTAAGCAAACGTTGTATTTTTGTTTCAGCTTGAACAGTAAAAACAGTAAAAAAGTTCCCTGTTTTCTGGTATTCAAACCACAAAAAAAACAGAATATTTAAACCTCAATAGTGTAGCATATGGTTAGAAAGCTTATAAAATGGCGCAGTTTTTAACATAATTGGCCACTTTCTTGTATACAGGGTGTGAACAAATACAATAGACCAATGTTTTTTTAAATTTGTATCAAACATCAAAATTTTTATCTTTGAATCTATTTACAATGGGGTTTTTACAACTGATCCTCCGTCAATTTCTATTATTCTTATTCAAAATTTAATGTAGAACACGAAAATGACATTGTCTACTCAAATCCATTTACCGGTAATTGAGAAATAGCTGTATTAAGTTTGAAAACATAGTTATTTTTTAAAAACATAAAATAATTCTTTGCGAAGCTAATTTTTTGACTTGGAACCTTTTATATGCATCATAACACTGCATTTACTTTGTACTTACGCCAAAAAAATTTTGTAACACTGATGACCAGCCATCCTGTATATATTAGAGCATTGAGTATGAGTGAATTCGAACGTCTCTGTAACGCTCCGCAGGTCTTTGAAATTGAGGAGAATCTTCTGACTTGTGCAAGGAGCTGCATAGTGCATAGTTGTGCAGTTTCAGCATGACAGTATAGATGTTTAACGTAGAAAGTGACGTTTCTATCAGAATTATGTTGTTTTTCATGATTGTATGGGCCTTGGTTATGGTGTTAATGTATTACTTTCTCTGTGAGTAACTCCCTCAATTAAGTAACAAGTATTATTTTTACTGTAATATCTTTAACCAATATATTACATTAAAACCCAAAATTTCTAATATTGAATAGATCACTCATTTAGGATTTTATTTGATGAAAATAAAAGTTTTGAAAGTATAAATATTTATCACCTTAATAATACTATCGTGCAAACTTAGTTAACAGTCCCTTTGTTTTACTTTGCTTTATAAGTATACTTCTTTTTGTAACATAAAAATGCACAAGGCCTACTCCCACTTAATAAACTCTTAAAGGAACGAAGGTATTATTTAGAGTGTGCCATAATTTTATTTTCACTCACAGGAAGAATGTAGGCTAAACAAAATCATAAAATTGTAAAAACAAAATGGGTCAATTTTATTTGGGTGTATATTTAACCGTATTACAACCAGGGTATAGTATTTAACTAAGATTACCCTGGTGGTTAGAAGGGAATAGTAACTTTATTTGTTTTAATAGACCTAGCCCTATCCTAGATGGCTAAAGAGATATTTAGGCAATAGCTTCTGTACCTTGCCTACTGTTATCATGAACATCAAGATGTTTGATAATTTAGGAAGGAGAATCATGGATAGAGGTTGAAAAAACATAATTTTCGTAAATCTCTAATTATCAGCTCGTGAGCCTTATTAGTGGCATCAACAGGTATCTGCAAATATAACATCTCTGACAGTTAGGTCTGTAGGTGACATCCTAGCAGAAGTAAACAGGACTTGGTTTTTTGTCTGTTCTGCTTATTCATCACTACAGACTAGGACAGTTTGGATCCGAATTCCTTTCTACATGGTAAAATACAGTTGAGCTAGCGTTTTGAAGTTTAGAGTCTTGGATTTTTCAGTTTTTTTTTTTTTGCCTACTTGCTAAGTAAGAGATTAAATGAAAGAGGTTTAACATCGTTTTGTTCGTTTTGTGAGGGTGTTTAGTCCTCCCTTTTACTGTTACATAGCCCACTGTGCAACTGTTCAATTTCCGCTTTAAATTTACTTCCTTTTGTCCTCAAACGTGCTCCGTACCTGCAAACAACTAGTAATGTTCTTCGTGAAAATTTCTCATTTGGACAGTGAAGCGTTGTTAATTTTGTTTTGACATGAAGGCTGGGCTTGGACAACCAAGCTCGTCGTAACTACTACAACATTTGAAAATAACTTTTGTTGAAAACCGGCAAACGTAATTTTTGTTTTTTCTTTTGGGACATTTTATAGAATTGTTTATTTCTATTTGTATTTTGTGTGCCTGCAGTTCTTTTCATGACTACCCCAGTCGGTCGCTTGTGGTGCAGGATCATCTGGTGCTTTTTTCATTCTAAGTAATATTGAGGGATCATTTTTCCTCTGGCAATCTCCAATCATCTTACTTTATACTCTGTCGGACCTAGGCTAGATCTGTCTAACCATTTCAGGTTCATACGCGTAACTATGAAGGTAAGAAGGATTCTTTTTTTTATTTTGGAGTTGTTAACCCCATAGAATCAAGACAAAATTATAGGTCACCACCAAACCCATTTTATAAGGAGGCCGCAACTAGTGAAATTTTAGTTTTTTTCTGGATTTTGGTAAAAAAAGACTAATAAATAAATATAAAACCATCAAAATCACTGTAGAACTCAGACATATCCCGTCAACCGCTCTTGAGCGACTCCTGGTACTTTCTTGATTACTCAGGTTGCGTAATTTCTTGCATTTTTTTCTTAGAGTACATTTTTTCACAAAGTTTTGATGCTATATGGCTACAAACCTCAAGGCTAAGGTTGTGATACTCTTTTAAAAATATATTAGGTTGCTACACTTACCTTACTTTGTTGTAACACTTTGGATTACGTTTCTGTAGTTTAAACTTAAGTAAAACCAGTCCTCACATTGGAATTCCTAAATTCTACTTTATATTAATGTTAGTTACAATGCATACGCATTTAAGTAAATAAAATTTGGAAAATGCATTATATTTAGTGTTTTAGTCATGTTATATGTTTACAGGTCACGAGTTGAGGCAGTTTTTTCGCAGAAGACGTATTCAGTCGTGGTTTTATTTCAGACCTCTTCACTCGCGGCGAGGCTAACAACCCCAAAAAAAACGGGGTTAACAGCAGCAACCCTGACGAAAAAAACGGGGTTAACAGCAGCAACCCCAACAAAAACAACGGGGTTAACAGCAGCAACCCTGATGAAAACGGCTAAAACAGCTAAAACAGCTTCCATGGTGAATGCATGAGCTAAAACTTAACGTAAAATCTGTCATCAATCAATGTTGTGTTGTAAAATTGGTAGTTATATTGTTGAAATATAAAAATCTAAGATTGGGATTTATATAAAGTGTCGATTATACTTGTTATTTCTAAGGCAATTTTGTTGACTTCCTTAAACTCGCTTTTAAAGACTAAGTTATTCATTCACATTGACAAAGTTGTTTAAATATTTTTAGACACTATTTAATATATTTTCAATAATTAAGCTTAGTGTAAATTTAAATTATGTTGTATTTTTAATCTGCAATCTGTTTTTATCTGTGTTAATAGGTATTCGGTTTGATTTCGGAATACTTCAGTTGGCTTTTTTTTACCAGAAGCTTTTGTTTATTTAAAAAGTGAATAGTTAAGAAAATTTCTATTTAAAATGTAAAGGGTTGAACACATGTTTAAGATTAATTACTGCAATGCTGAATATATAAGCTTTAAAATCACTAAACATTTCTTAAACCATGAAAAACGTTTTTATTTTACGTTATTTAATGCATTAATTGTTATTTCATATTTATATTTTAGCCTTAAAAAAGTTATGCTTTTATAGGGGATTTATTTTCAGGTTAAGGTAGTAAAGATACACTGTTAAAGGAAACATACCCGTTCATATTATCAACTTTTTTGGCCTTTTCTCAGTGGATGGTTACAAATAAAGATTAAAATATCCTGAAAGTAAATATAATATGGTATCACAATCATTTTAAAAGTTTATGATTTTATATACAATATATAAAAAGTGTAGGCCTACATTAAAAAGAACATATTTTTATAAAAACTGTTAATTTGGAATTTATAATCGTCACCCTCTGTAATAGACACGAATTGATCATAACTAGCAAAGGTTGCTTAAACAATGTGCTTTACACAATTTATGATAAAGATTGAACATTTTGTTGATATGAAAAAAAATCCAATAATTCAATATTATTTTATATAATCAGCCGTTGTGAATATATAGCTACAAATAAATACTTAACAACTTGATCTATGGCGCATTTTTTTATTTTTTTATAAAATGAGAGAAATGCTAAAAGGTTCAGTGGAAAAGAGTTTAATAATATTCCTCTATAAAATCCGAGTTTAACCCCATTTATTGACCCTGAACCACTTGTTTTAAAATACAGTACCTAATTTTAAATTTTGGAAATAAAATCACGAACTAACATAAAAATGACAATCGTAAAAGAACAATTAGTATGCGTTAACCAACTTTAAATTAAAACAAAACACCCGCATCATTAAGGTTTATTTCTCGCACTATCCGTAGTGAGTAAAATACTCATAAACAAGTTTTTGAAACAATTATCCTTTAAATTGGTTGCACACATTCTCTTAATATAACAAATGTCGCCGTTATAAACTGGATTTTATATGACATACTAACTTCTTGTTATGTGGTCCAATGTTTGTAGGAATTTAAACTACAAATCCTTTAAAACGTATTTTTCAAGTGAATGAGCTTTTTCCTTATTCAAGTTGTGATTGGTTATTGACATTGTAATCGACGATTCCAGTCAGAAGTGTTCCATTTAACGAGTATTCTGTGAAAAAAAGGTTATTTTATTACGTTGAAATGGCCATATAGAGCTAAATAGACAGGAATTTCCACAGCCGCAGTAATAAAAAGCCAAGTTTAATTCTAATATTGTTATCAGTTTCCCGGTATCTATTGTGTCTACAAATTGGCTGCAAATTAATTGCTTCTACATACAACGTAATTCTGTTTTAACTCGTAATTTAGTATGTTGAAAATGATTGTGTATAAGTGAGTTTTAAAGCTATCATAAAATAGTATATTTTTTATCACTAGGGCCTAAAGTGACTCTTTTCGACCCGACCATAAGCTATACGATCGAGGTGAAGCCTAGGTCTGAACATGAGAGAGGGTTGAAAAGACACTTTTCCCCGTGTGATAAACTATATTTTTGTCATATTAAACCATTATTTGAACAAACTATGTTACAAAACTAAAAACTTTGATTTACAGTAACCTCAGACAACTTCTAACTTGTTAGCGAATTTCCCTATAGGGAAGTAGCTATTACCGTAGGTGGCACGGTAAGACTTAAACCCGGGACCGATTTACTTTTTCATTTTGATGTCCCCAGAGGCCAAAAACACCATTCGTTCAAATTTTTATATATGTATATATATATATATATATATATATAGACTTATATATATATACTTCCGTGAACGCGATAACTTGAGTAATTTTTGTCCGATTTTGATGAAATTTGGTTTAAAGGTGTAAAGCGGGATAAACTTGAATGAGTTCGCGAACCAGCATGATCGGACCATGGGAACGGGGCTTTACGGGGGGTTTTATGGGGTAAAAATTGGTTTTTCTCACTTTTGACCCTCAAAACACAAAATTTCCCGATTTCTCTTTAGACCTATTTAAAGAGCTTAAAAAAACAAATAATTTAGTATATAAAAGTATTTTTGTTCGGTTATTAGTAACGGAGAAAATTAAAAAAATTGTAAATTTAAAATTCCTATGTTATTCTTATGGAGAATATTGTCAAATGTTGTAGTTTGCTTGTTTATGGATATATTTTGATCAAACTTGGCAAATTTATTTATTTTGTACTAAGCTATCAATATTTTACTCAAAAACACACTTTATTAGTTTCCTTGTAGCAGCAAACCTAGGTACTCGTTAAACCTAATGTTATTAAAATATATTTAACTGAAAATCAATTCAGACAAATGGAAATTCGCTTAGTCGGCAGGTTTGCTGCGGCGGGGGTATTTTTAATTTAATTTGTTAATTGAAGCAAGAGCCTGTTTGGTAAGTGATTAAATTGTGTTAGTGTACATGATATTATCTATATGTCAGCTGTTTTCAATAAGGCAACAATAAACAACAACAGATTAAACAATTGATACATACTTCCGTTACATGCGATCGTTTACAATCGAAATTTACAACTGACATGACATCAGCTGATTTTTACTCCCTAGGGGCTAAAAACGATTTTTCCTCCATAAAGAGTAAAAATGCCACTTTAGACCGGTGACGCATGCATGAAAAACGGCTGTTTTTGCTGCAGAGTGATGGAAAAAGATTTGTATCACGGTATTTATTTCTTTCTTACATACATGTATCGAAATAATCCAAATGTGTATTCTTAATTAGTATAAATAGCATGTTCTTTTTTTATTATAAACTCTTTTTAGGCTTTTAAACTTATAATTTAAGTTGAAATTTGGCTTGTTAGAAAATATTTTGTGGATTTGACAAAGGCCACACTAACAGGCCATGATGGAGTGTGGGCAGCACAATACTACGTCAAGATAGCTGTACTAAAATCTTATTGTTAAAACCTGACAAACAGCCTGCTTCTTTTAGCGAATTTCCCATATAGGGAATAAGCTATTACCGTAGGTCTCATGGTAAGACCTAGACCCGGGACCGATTTACTTTTTCGTTTTGAGGTCCCCAGAGGCCAAAAACACCATCCGTTCAAATGCATATATATATATATATATATATGCATATGTATATATATATGTATATATATATACATAAATATATATATATATATTTATATATGTGTCCGTTAGCGCGATAACTCGAGCAAAATTGATCCGATTTTGATGAAATTTGGTACAAACGTGTAAACCTACATTTATTCGAACGAGTTCGCGAACCAGCATAATCGGACCATGGGATCAGGGGTTTATGGGGGGTTTTATGGGATAAAAATGGGTTTTTCTCATTTTTGACAATAAAAACTTTAAATTTCTAAATTTTTTTCTAGACCATTTTGAAGAGCTGCTTAAAAAAACAAATAATTTAGTCTATTGAAGTGTTTTTGAATGTTCAGTGACTACGGAGAAAATTAAAAAAATTGTAAATTTAAAATTCCCATGTTATTCTTATGGAGAATAAATAAACTGTTCTAGTTTGCTTGTTTATGAATATATTTTAATCAAATTTGGCAATTTGGTTTATTTCATACTAAGCTATCAATATTTCAATTGAAAAAACACACTTCAACATCTTCCCCGTAGCAGCAAACCTAACTACTCACTAAAATTAATGTTATTTAAATAGGAAATAAATCTGAAAATTTATAGGGAATATTTTAGTAGAAATCAAGCTGGGTAAATGGAAATTCGCTTAGTATGCAGGTTTGCTGCGACGGGGGTATTTATGGGATATTGCAGTGAATCTATCAACAAATCCATCCACTAGTTTGACGTCATGGACCCTGTTGAATGGCATTGGCATATTTTCTATGGCATTCTAGTGGGGTCTGGATTTCATTCACTTCTTTTGCTGTTGGCAAGGACTCGTCAGTTACGATGGCAAACACACCAACAATCGTCCCACATTTGAAGACAGGCGTTCCAATGGACCCCGAAAATATCCTGCTTCCTTAGGGTTAGCAGATATTAATTTTCAATCCACAAATGGGTAGTTCTATGGTTTTTGTTTGTAAAACGTGTATTGTCTAACTCTAAGAATACATTTTTATCCAAGTGTCAATCATCCCAAAGTTTTATATATAATTTTTTATTTATACATGAAATACTTTACTTACATATGTCCTCTTTTTTGATTCGGAAGCATTTAGTTTAAATCTTTAAGTTTATACAAAAACATCTAAAAAATTTATATATATACATGAAGACAGCGATTAAACTTTAATGAGTCTTAAAATGTTGCCTACTTAATAATAGTAGACTTAAATGTAAAGTGATTGTGAACATTTACTAGAGTAAACCTATAATTAAATTTATCCCTGTTGTATATTTGTTTTTTTTAGTAGCAAATGTCAAGTCTTACAACTATAGTTTACTGGAAATAATGTGCATTTGATAAAGTTCAACAGAATGACAACACTAACTTAACATTGACAACAGTCACAACATTGATCCTAAACAACACTTAATATTCTTGAATCGTCTCAAGTTGGCAGGTGTCAA